GGGTGGTGTATGATCTCCCAGGCATCATCCGCACCTGGTCTTCCTTTCCTTCTTGGGTAGTTTTTGGCTGATCCTCACCTGACCATCTCGCACGTCAACTACTCCCTCGACCAGGTGAGTCGCTTCGCGTGGCCTGCCTGGCGCTCCTTCTGCCGGCCGGAGTTTGTTTTCTCTCGCAGGGTGGCTTGTAGCTGCTCTTGCCTCTCTGGGCTGCGACCTCTGCCTGGCTCAGGCGTGAGTGGGTTTCGGTCCACCTACTTCCCGGAACTGGGTGTGAGGTCGTGCTGGGGTGGACGGGCAGGCGAGCAGGAGCCGGTCCGACGTGAGTTTGTGCCCACAGACCCCCCCCCCTCGCCTCCCGTCTCCCAGCAGCCACGCAGAGAGCTCCTGGTGAAGGCAGGGGAAGCGTTGCTACAAAAGGAGAATCGGCCGGCCCCAACTCCTGGGGGCAGGGCCCCTGTGCCAGAAGCGGGGAGCCCCTTGTCTTTCATTTTGGGCAGCGTCATTACGCCGCCCGTCCGGCTGTGCGGTTTGCCAAACAGGAGGGCAACTCACACACCCGGAGAGGGGCCTTGCACCGAAGCAGGTCGTCTTTCTGTCCCTTCTCCTTTACCTTATCAGGACCCTTTCCTCTGAACCTGGTGCTTTTGCCCAGAGATGGACACATCATGGCCTTTTCAGGGGCTCTTACAAACATGGAGGGGGGGGGGACTGAAGCCGCTCAGAGCAAGCTTCTGCTGAGCTGGGACACCAGGGAGGCTCCCAGTGGGCTGGGGGCTCTGCCTCGGCAGGGGTGCGCCTGCCTTCCCATCACTGGGGACCCAGCGACTCAGTGCTCCCTGAGCCTCCCCTCGCTTCTCAGGCCCCACGGCGGGCCCTTGGCCCATCCCTTTCCGGGGAGCAGGCCTGCCCCCTTCTTTATTCGCTGCTTTTTCCACAGTTTCAGCTCTTGTTCCCCTCGTTGATGGTGGTGGTGGAGCAGATCAAGAGCCAAAAGGTACGGCCAAAGGCTCAGATTCCCATGGGCTGTGGCTGCCTCTAGAGGCAGAGGTGTGGCAAACAAGATAAGAAGAGACATATTGGGGAGAAGAAGAATTAAGAAAAGGCCGTGTGGTTGTAAAGGTTACACAACTGCAAGAGTAGCAGGATACTTTTACTGACCTACTAAAAAAGCAAGCAGATTATTATTATTATTATTTATTTAATTTATATGCCGCCCACACTACCCAAAGGTCTCTGGGCGGATTGCAAGCTTTTGTGGAGAAAACCCCACTTCACCAGGCTGGGCAGCCCCCTTTCATGGACAGTGCAGGAAAATGGTAGATAAGAGCCCCCAAAATTCATCAAGGCAGATGTTTATGTCAAGCCTGATTGTGTGAGGTAAATTCAGACTTAGGTTGAAAAGGTCAGCTTGCTGGGGTGGGTGGGTGGTCTTAAGCACCATCCCTTGCAACCGATTTGGAATATGGCTTCCTTTTATTGAAGGAAATAAATGGATGTCAGGGCATTTGGGCCACTATTCAGAGCTCATTCATGGCCAGGGGCCCTTTTGGGGCACTTATTTTTCCCTCTCTAAGTTTAAAGAAAGTGGGTGGGTGGTCTCTAGATCTTCAGCTCTCAAGCAGCATATGCAGGCCTCCGCTCTGGTAAGTGATGCACGGGTCCACGTTTCTTGCAGATCCATGGCTGTCAGATCTTGGAAATCGTCCACCGGCATAGCCAAGGGGGCTTGCCCCCCGTGCGTCATGCTTTGGAGAAGTAAGAAGCAGGAATTGAAGCCGTTTCCTGAGGTTGGCTGGGTGGAAGTGTTCTGAATTGGGAAGAGGAGTCCCCTCCCCGTGCCCCACCCACCCATTCACACACCGTGTATGCCTCTTCCCGAAGCTCTGCTGCCACTTTTGAGGGCCCGTGTGTGTTCTCCCCTGGGGAGACGACCCACAGTGAAAGCTAGCCGTCCCCCATGTGTCGGGGGCGCCTGTGTTCTGCTGGATTTCAGTGTTACGGGCAGCTGCTTCGGGGAGGGAGGGAGGGAAGCCCACCACCAGCCCCAGGAGATCCCCATTGTTGGCGCTGTGCTTCTTCCAGGGTCTTGGCCGTGTGCCACGCGGTCCTGTACAAACAGCTCTCAGCCTGGATGCTGCACGGATTGCTCCTGGACCAGCACGAGGAGTTCTTCATCAGGCAGGGTCCCTCGTCGGGGATTGTCCCTGCCCAGCTGGAGGAGGAAGAGGACGACTTGGGCATTGGAGGTCTGACGGGGAAGCAGTTGCGAGAACTGCAGGATATGGTGAGCGGGGCCACCTCTCTTGGGACCCCTTGCAGTCTGCGTGGTGGCTTCCCCTTGGGGCTTCAGACAGCTTTGGGCCAGATCCGGCGGCAGCCCTGAGCACCTGGGGAGCTGCAGGGTCGGGAGTGGCTCTCTTCCCCCAGGGACATGCTTGGATCTAGGCTTCCTCTCGGGCTTGTGCACCCCAAGATATGGGGTGGGGGCACCCGACGCCCTCGGGGGAGGGACCTTGGCAGTGCTTTGAATCCAGAGGTCCTCTCTTGTCATCTCCCACCCCTGTGCACCGTCCCGGTGGCTTCCTTTTGTCGCCACAGAGGCTGATTGAAGAGGAAAATATGCTGGCACCTTCTCCCAAGCAGTTCTCCCTGAGGATAGAAATGTTGCCCTCCTACATCCCTGTGCGCGTGGCTGAGAAAATCCTCTTTGTGGGCGAGTCCGTCCAGATGTTTGAGAGCCAGAACGTGAGCTTTACAAAAAAAGGTCGGGCACTTGGCTTCCGTTCATCCTGAGGGCAAGTGGGCTTAGTGGCCTGTGGCTAGCGCAGCCACTTGTGCTTCAGCCCAGGGGAGGTTGTGCTGGTCCCCCCCCCCCCGCGCGTCTGCAAGGTGCCGTGGCAGGCAGGGCCCAGCCATCAGCTTCCCCGCGTCCGCAAGAGCCTCCCTCTTGGCACAGAGCCTTGGGGGCACCTCTGCCACTTTGGCCACGGAGCTGTTATTTTTGCAATATGACATGTTAACCTACATCGGATGGGACGTCCCCCTCAGTGGCTCTGTGGCCTCCCCTGTGGCCGCTGTTGTGGCAGCTGTTGAGGTGGTATTTGCGGGCTCAACAGAGGCAGGAATAAGCATGTCTTCCCCTCTGGAGAATGAGTGGGGAAAACAGGGGTTCCTCTGGCTCTTTGGGAAAATGAGGAAGGGCTATTCGTACCTCCTTGTTTGCTTGGTATTGGGAGGTTTCTGGGGTTCACGCAAGGTCACTTCCTCCCGTGTTCTTGCCTGTTCTGCCTGCAGTGTGCCTGGAAGAACCACTCTTCCTCCTTGATCTCCTGTCGGGTATCTGAAGCTCTGTTGCCTCTTGCAAAAGCGAACCCTCTAGTTCCTCCAGGTTCTCTTAGCAAGATTTAACTCCTGGCCTGGGATGGGCCCCCATGGCAGCCAGGGGGGTGGATGGCACGGGCCTCTGTCTAGTCCAGGAAGACAGTAACAGAAGGGGCTTCGCCTGGCTCTGGAGTTTCCTTTGGACCACTTTCCCTTTCCTCTCCTCCTTCACAGGCTCCATCTTGAAGAATCAGGAGGACACGTTCGCTGCAGAGTTGCATCGCCTCAAGCAGCAGCCGCTCTTCCATTTGGTGGACTTTGAATCTGTGGTTGACTGGATCCGGAGCACCGTGGCTGAGGTCAGCTGCAGCTCTAGGCAGGGACCGGCCTCTTGCTCCATCCCTTGGAGCGCCCGTGGAGGCCTGGAGGGCATGGCCGGCTTGTACCATGAGAGGCAGGATGTCCCCAAGAACTCTCTCTGGGAGAGAGGCGGCGACTTTCTAAGCAGCCATCATCTGCGGGCCCCGATGCTGATGGACTGTTCTTTGTTTCCTTTCCTAAGCACTTGTGGAAGCTGATGGTGGAAGAGTCCGATTTGATAGGACAGCTGAAAGTAAGTGCAGAACGCCTCTGGAAGCTTCCAGATTTGCCGCCCTCCTTTCTCCAGACAACAGCCACTTCACCATTTTCAAGGGTGCCTTGAGAATGGCCTGTGTGTCCTTCCTTCCTTCTAGATCATCAAAGACTTTTATCTCTTGGGGAGAGGGGAATTATTCCAGGCTTTTATTGACACAGCACAGCAGATGCTCAAGACGCCTCCAACAGCGGTGACAGAGCACGGTGAGCCCCTCGGTGTCCTGGCAGGGCCCCCTCGGTGTCCCACACCCGGTCCTGGGGCTGGGAGGTCGCGTGTGGGGCTTCCCGGGCGCCTCCTGCCTCTGTCTTGATTCTAAAGGCCAGGGCGCCCCAAGGACACACACAGTCAGGCTGCGGAGTGGCCGGGCTCTGGACGGCGGGGCAGCTGGCCAGCTCCCACCTTCCTTTTGCTGGTGGGAACAGCGGCCTGACCGTTCTCATGGCCTCCCTCCAGATGTCAACGTGGCGTTCCAGCAGTCAGCCCACAAAGTGTTGCTGGACGATGACACCCTGCTTCCTCTCCTTCATCTCACCATCCACTACCACGGAAAGGAGCATCGAGGTGGGTGGTTGGGGGTGTGTGCCAGGGGCGCAGCTACCTTGGCCACCTGAGGGTTCGTCTCCCCTGCCCTTTGCCAGCATGAGTCGCCCAAGGGGGTCATGGTGATGACCAGGCACGTAGAGCAGCTTTTATTTTAATTTTTCCTGTTGAGACAGATCTGCATCTCTTGAGCTCTGAAGAGGGCCGTTCCATTCTCCCGGCTACACTCTGCCCTCTTTCTCAGGGGAAGATGGCCGAAGGGAGACCTGTGGGGTGGGGGTGAGGGGGAGACGAGAGGGACTATGGGATCCTGGGCCTTCTCCCATATCCCCCAGCACGGTTCTCTGTGGCCTCCACCCTCCTGGCAGCCATTCAGAAACATCCTTGTGCTTCCCTTTCAGATGGTTCTCAGGCGCGTGAAGCCCCTTTGCGTGAACTCTCACCCCACGAGTCCCCGACCTCTGGCTGGGCTGCTCTGGGGCTCAGCTACAAAGTCCAGTGGCCTCTGCACATCCTCTTTACTCCAGCTGTCCTAGAAAAGTAAGGGTGGCCTCCCCCACGGTCCCCGGGGCTCTGGGGCCATAGCCGTGGCTGGGCGGAGCGAGGCACGTTTTCCCAGCGGTGGCAGAAAGAGGCTCCCCCCCCCTTCCTGTCCTTGGTCGGGCACCCGCCTCCCTTTTGCCTTCCGTTCCCGTGTCTGGCTCCAGGTACAATGTGGTCTTCAAGTACCTCCTGAGTGTGCGGCGCGTGCAGGCCGAGCTGCAGCATTGCTGGGCGCTGCAGATGCAGTGCAAGAGGCTGAAGTCCAACCGGACGGACGCCATCAAGTGGCGGCTGCGGCATCACATGACTTTCCTGGTGGACAACCTCCAGTACTACCTGCAGGTGAGGGAGGGCGCGCGGCGGTGGCGGCAGCAGCAGCAGCTTCTCTCCTCCTCTGGGCAGGCCAGGAGGGTTGGAGACCCACCCAGCGGACCCCGCTGCCGACATTGCTCAGGGAGGGCACGGCGGAGTATTTCCCGGGCCTGGCGGTAGACCCAGAGCGGTTCCTTCTCCAGGGTCGTCTTGCTTCCTGCTGAGCCTTTGCTGGGGGTTGGGGGGGCGAAAGGCAACTCCGGGTCGTCTTGTCCCCTCAGGTGGATGTCCTGGAGTCTCAGTTCTCGCAGCTCCTACAGCAGATCAACTCCACCCGCGACTTTGAGAGCATCCGACTGGCCCACGATCATTTTCTGAGCAACCTCCTGGCCCAGTCCTTCATTCTGCTGAAACCGGTGAGTGCCCCAGCCTCTACCCCTGCCCCGCCCCCATCTTCAGGCATCCATCCGCCCGGGCCTCTGCCTAAAGCTAAACAAGCATCCTTCTAGGCCAAGCAAATACCTCTGCTTCATACTGCGTGGCCAACCTCAGCCCTAGCAGGCTATGAAGGGGACACTCAGCCCAAAACCAGACACCCCCCTCCCAGGTGGGACTGGATTTGTGGTTTGGCCACCCTCTTCTGTGCTAAGCCAAACTGGGTGGCGAGCGAAAGGCACGGAGAGAGGCCGGGACGCGTTCCAGAGTCTTGGCCCAAGAGACCCACTTCCCCCTTGGCCTTGCTGACGGAGTCATGTAGATCCTTGGCCCAGAGGTCCCTGTGTGGAGGGCTCTTGGGGTGTGTCTGAACAAAGCAGAATGTTTGCTCCCTTGTCCTTCAGGCTTTGGTGCTTGATGGGAACGCTCCCACACAAGGCTGAGTAAGCGGGTCAGAAGAGGGAGGCGCCAGGAGGAGAAAGCCTGGGCTGTCATGCCCTTCACCTGGCTTTGCTTGTCTGTTTCCTGTGCAGGCTTTCCACTGCCTGAACGAAATCTTGGACCTTTGCCACAGCTTCTGCTCGCTGGTCAGCCAGAATCGAGGGCCCCTGGATGAGCGAGGGACTGCCCAGCTGAGCATTTTGGCCAAGGTGGGGCTCCCTGCTCCCATGGCACCCTGAGAGAGCTTTCCTGGGGCCTTTTCTCCACGGGGCTGAAGTGGGGCCAGGAGGCCCTGGGAGAGGGTCTCTAGAGGGCAGTGAGCCAATGAGCGGCACTTGCAGACCGGCCGGGGGGGGGGCGCTTCCTTCTTGCAGCAGAGCAGCTGCTGAGGAAGGCTGGTCAGATGTAGCCCCCCGGGGCCCTTTGGTTGAGGCCCTCATGAGCGGTGGCGTCTCGGGGACTCCCTCTTGTCGCCCGTCTCCCCGTCTGCTAAAGGTTGGAGGGGGAGGGCGGCAGTGGGTTTCTCTCACGCAGGGGCCCACTCTCCACGGGGGTGTGTGTTTGTGGCAACTCGGGGACGTTTCCCTTGCAGGGCTTCAGCTGCCAGTCGTCCCTCCTGTTCAAGATCCTCTCCAGCGTTCATAACCATCAGATCAACTCGGACTTGGCGCAGTTGCTTTTGCGCCTGGACTACAACAAGTACTACACGCAGGCGGGGGGCACCTTGGGCAGGTAGGACACGGAGCTCCGGGGGGGGCGAGCGAGGGTGGTTGTTGCGCTGAGGTGCCTGCCCTGGGGGTGGGGAGGGGAGAGGAGGGGCACTGCAGCCCAAGGGGCCTGGGGGTGGGGTGGGGGTGAGGGACCTGTCTGAGGCCAAGGTGCAGGGCCTGGGCCACGGGAGATGCAGGATGCGGCCACGGCTCCCTCCGCCCCAAAGGTCTCTGGCACCTGTGAAGTGGCCGCCACCTCCTCATGGGAGGCATTGGCTGCCCTGGTTAAAATGGGTCAAGGGTCTGTTTGAGGCTGCTAGGAGATGAGTGGGGAAAGTACGGCCCCCGGGGGCTGCTGCCACCGACTGCTGCCACGGCGGCTAGCCCGAAGGGGAGTCGTCATCCAGGTTTTTACTCCGGTAGCCGTGAAAGGGGCAAGAGGCTTCTTTCCTTTGAGTTACGACTCGATCCTGGGCCTCAGATGCTGTTGTGCCCATTTCTCCACGCCCAAGAGCTGGGTTACAGCAGCAGGTGTGTCTCAGGGAGGCGCAGCCAGGCCTGGATGTACCTGGTGGAATTTTGCACCTTACGGTCCCTAATGGCATTGATATATTAGGAGGTATGCATCATTTCTCAGGCTGAACAGGATTATGACGTTCTTGTTGCGATACCTGGTTTTCTCATTTTGCCGACTCTTCTGCATGCAACCCTTCCTTCCATCTAACCGGCCCCTTTTTCTGTGCAGTGTGGGATTAGAGTAGAACAAGCCCACGGCAATGCTGACCCTTCCCAGACCGTGGCCCCGGCTGCCCCGTCCTGACCACTCTGGAGAGAGAGGGCTGCCCTCTCAACAGAGGCCTGCACTGTCCACGGCGCTTCTCCTATCGACGCACGAAAGGCTGGCCTGGCCTGCCCGTCACGTGACAGAGGGCAACGGCCCTCCCTGCTCCCTTCGGGTTCTGTGAGCGTCATTAAATGTCTCTAGTGCTGCTTTTCTTGTGTATGCTTCACCACCAAGAAGGGAAGTGGAAACGTAGCTTGCTTTCGGCCTGGTGTGACACAGGCCACTCTTTGGCAGCAATTCTAGCTCTTTCAGCTGTGGCCAGAGTCTTGCCCTCAGTATTTCCACCTTGGGTAGCCTGGTGAAAAAATTCAGGCCAGATCAGGGGTAACAGAAAAGCCAGGCCTGGCTTGGCCGCTCACCAGAAAGGCATTTCTCTTGAAGCTGCACTATAGGAAGAAGTACGCATTCAGGTGGCCAGACTGGAATGGGGCTGTTGCCCCCTCCTGCCCCAGCCGTTGTTGCCTTGATGGGGGAGCAGAGGCTGCTCTGCCTTGATCTTCTGCTCTGCTGCTTTTTCTAGGAGGGGAATAGATTTGGTGCAGCAACTCTGCCCAAGACAGAAGGAAATAAAGAACCACCTGGCTTCTCTAAGCAACCACTTCTGCCTCCAGGGGGAAAAAGGAGGGTCCCCCTTTCTCCTGACCCCTTCAGGACAGTGAAGAGTTCCTTGAGGAAAAGGCGCAGACCAGAGGAAGTTACAGTACTTGACTACATAAAGACAGCCAGTGAGGGGTAACGACCCATCCCACCACAGCAAATTCTTGCTCGGCTGCGAAAACACGTTGAAAGGCACTCCTTGGAACCTCTCACATTTCTTGAAGCCCAGTGGAAGAACTCGGGAGGCCTTTGCGTTTAGCACTGCGGGGCGACGACAGGGGAGACGGTGCTGTCTGCTGCCCATTGAAGGCTGCCGCATTTTGTGTGTTGCGATTGGAGTTGGCGAGAGGGCTTGCAAAGCACGCCAGGTGGGGTGGGGGTGGGAACACGGAGTAGCCCTGGAAAGGCCACTCCTTCCACCGCCCCCACGGGCTTGCTGCCGACACCCCCACAGAGGCTTTCCCCTCCCTTTAGCCCTCTTTGTTTTTTGCCACACCTTAGGCTCCAGAGTTTGAAGCCAGTAGTGAGAAAGGCAGAGCTGGGATGCAGCAGGATCAGTCCGTGCACCACAGCTCTCGACAGAAGAAGGTCAGCAAAGGATGAACCAGGGAGGAGGACCAGACAGCGGGCGGGAGAGAGAGAGAGAGAGGTTTTCTTTGAGGACTGAAAATGTTTTGGGAGGACAAGTGTGGCTGCCACGCTACTGCTCATCATCACGGCTCCAAAATGGTGAGAAAAACCTTTCCGGCAAGCTCTCTACTGGGGCCTAAACATTGCTGGCAGGTCTGGCATAGGTGGGGAAACTCCCAAAAGAACTTGTTGCCCTTCTGAGCCCTCTGTTGCCGATGCACAGGTGTCTTCAGGATGGGACCCAAGTATCGGCAGGATTTCCAAAAGGGGCTGCTACTGGGGCTTCTGGCCTTCCTCCCACCCCCACCTTGCTTCTGTTCTCTCCCCCAGTCCTGGTTTGGGGATGGTGGAGGTGTCTCCACTGAACACCACCCACCCACCCCCATGTCAGGTCCAGCATCCTCTCCCATAACGGCCGTCACTCGGCATCATTTGCAACCCCAGCACATTCCATCCTCCGGTGCTCATTTTTTGCTCATTTGTATCCATTATAATTAACAAACCAAAATTGAACGTGTGAGTTAATGGGAGAATGTTGGTTGCTAAGAACCGACATCCTACCATTGGATTTATTTAAGGCCATAAATAACATGGAACCCATTTAATGATGGCCAGAGAAATCCCCCATACCACAACAAGAAGCTTAACATTTATTTTTCCATCATAAAAGTCCAGAAATTAAAATTATGTACATAATTCATGCACAGGTCAGGGGACACAAAATGTTAAAACCTCCGCCACAACCATCTCCACCAATCCAGTTTTAGGAGGGGACGTAATCGTGCCGGTACCTGGGATGCCTGAATCCCACTCTCTCTCCTGCAATGAGGCTCTGGGCGACCCACTCCTGGGTGACCACGGGCAGCTTCAGGGCATCGGCACACTTCAACAGGGCAGGCGGGCAAGACTGGTCAGTCACCACCACGTCAAACACCCCCAAGGCCACATCTGCAGGAAGAGGGAAGGGGATCAGCCACACCCAGGAGGCCACGGCTGGCTTGCCTTGCCCCAGAGGCTCCCCCCCCCAAGAGACGAGCTGCCTGGGAAGGCGCTCCCACGGACATGCCGGGCGGGGAGGGGCACCGTGGCTGAACTGCACCCCCTTCCTTCACCCTTTCAGCAAGAACCAAGTGGACCTTGGGAAGGGGTCCTTTCTGCTTGGGATTGCCAGGCGCATATCTGCACGGGGTGGTGGTGGTGGTTTGCTATGCTACCATCTAGCTTTCTAGGTGATGTCCCAGACCGTAGTCTGGGGAGAACGGAGCAGGGGAGGAGCGGCCTTTTGCCTCTGAAGACTCCTCTCGCCCGCACCTCATGTGCTGGTAGAGGTTCTGATGATAGAATCTACTGGGTCAGGGCTGGGCAGACTGGGACAGACGGGGGGAGCTGGAGGCCGGGGGGGGGGGAGCTGGAGCACTCATGAGGATGACTGAATTGCTCTGAGCTTGGAACACGTCTTAATAGGAGTGGCAGCAGAGAGGGATGAGGGCAAGCTGCCCCACCCAGGTTGACCAGAGGTCAGGGCCAGTGGAGAAACAAGGCTCCCGGAGGGGCCTCAGCTGAAAGGCCCTGGCTGAGGTCTCGGATGACCACACTCCTCCAGGCTGCTGTGGACTGCGGCCGACGGGCTACTCGGGGGGGACAAAGCCACGAGGAACTCTTCCCAGTGTTGCTGGCTGGACATTTCTGCGCATGGCAGTCAAAGGAAGCGATTCCCACCCACTGCTACATGGACTGTGAGGAGGTGGGGGCTTCTCACCTGGGTTTCCAGGGCAATTTTACCCTAGGCTAAAGGGTTGCTCAAAGCTGCCACTCCAGCCTGACTAGTGTGCAAATTCATGTAACCGCAGCAGTAACACCCCCAGCAGTTCCAGGATGTGGAAGAAGGTGAGTAGGCCCAAGAGAGGCCCCCATCCATCCGTCCACCCTTCCCTTTCGTCCAGATTCTCCACCGCCCGCGGTCGCTCCTCAGTCCCCAACACAAGGCCAGGGGGCTGAGCAGGAGCAGCCACCGTGCCCTGCCCACCCGGTCTCGCCAGCCTCCCCTCCAGCGGCCAAGGACAAAGGCAGTACCTTGGTTCCATGTGTCTGACTGCTGCTGCTTGACGGAAGCGGCCCCTCCGGTCATAAGGATTTCTGCCCAGAACTCCAAGAAGCCCTTGGGCTCACCCGACACCAGAAGCACCCTCAGGGTACGGAAGGGGCTCTTCCGGGGATGCCTAGAGAGGACCCANCTTGCGCTGGGCAAGCGGGCCTGAGCCAGACCTCCCCCCCCCTCGGCCGGATACCGGACACACTCACCACTCCAGCAGCCTCTCCTCTTGCAGGCTGTAGCCAGCGGGGAGCAAGTAATCCCGGTAATTCTGGAGCTGGTTGGCGTGGCAACTGTCAAGGACCCAGAGGTGGGAGACGCAGGGAATGCTCCGGGCAAGGCACAGGAAGTACTTCCGGGTGCGGCAGGGCTGGTCCGAGATCAGGAGGCACTGATACGCCGCGCTGCACTGAACAGGGAGGGAGGGAGGGAAGGAGGGAGGGCAAGGCTGGGACCCACAACCTACACCTGGCAACCACCTCCACCCCCCCCCCCGTTTCCCTCC